ACATTTATTTACATTTACACAATACAGATTGTTTCAAAAGCAGCTTCACAGTGATAAATCAAGGAAATAACAGTGAGTATGCTGCAAAATTAATCAGTTATGACAGCAGTTCTTCAGAAGACAAGAGTCGTTATTCATATTATTTTGTCACATCACTAAGATCAATATTGCTGAATTTTAATTGTTTTTTAATCTCAGGAATTAACCGTAATAATCCATGATAATAACTACTGACACATTCACAGGGAATGAAATCATAATAAATTTCAGACCTCAGACTTTTAATGAAAGTAAACATAACTTCGGTCATCTGATTGGTTGTTTGACTGTCACATGATCGAGCGTCACACAGATCCACTGGAACCACTTGCCAGGTTGACCTTTAACCCCACGTGTGTATTGATGACTCGTCTGGCATCCGTCACTTAGACTCCTCATGCATTTCTTTATTGATTTCTCCATTAATTAGCATTAAAGGCCATTACAGCACTTCCTGTTCACTCGTGGAATCACGTGATCATCTCCCCTAACACACATAAGGTTGTCTTAAAGACTTTACTGATTCATGCTCCTGCTTATGGTGTTATTTTAGTGTTATTTATGTCTTAAATGTTTTATGTTGGATATTATATATGAGACAGATTTTAGTCAGTAAACTCCTGGAGAAGTTTGAACATCAGGTTTACAGACACACTTACAGTGGGAGTCTATGGGGAAAGATATGCATCGCTTGTTTTTATACTAAGGTTTTGAGATCAGTGTTAATGTTAGTCCTATTACGCCCTTGATTTTGTTTTTGGGGTGTATTACCCAGCCAACATGTATATGTGGGCCCCACATGGTTTATGCTTGGGCTACGTGGGTACCAAGTGGGTATGGTCCCAAAATGGGCATCTTTTCTGGGGCCCACTTGGGTCAGCTACGTCGGTCCCACATGGGCAAAAATAAGTGGGCTCCCTATGTGGGTCCTAGTTGGGTCACTAATGGGAAATGAGGGCATGGGCTCAAAATGGGGAACACAAATGGGGCCCATTTGGGTTTATCAAATGGGTGAGACATTGGCAAATACAACCAGTCCCATATAGGCTGCCTGCGTGGGCCCAAGGTAGTACCCACATAGATAATCTCTATATGGGTTATGAATGGGAAAAATATATGGGGTCCACTTTCATAACCCATATGGGTCAGACATGGGCAAACACAATCAGTCCTATATAGGCTGCCTACATGAGCCCAATGTGGCACCCACGTTGGTAATCTCTATATGGGTTTTGAATGGGGCAATACATATGGGGCCCACATGGCCAAACTATATCGGACAGACATGGGCAAACACAAACAGTCCCATTTAGGCTGCCTACATGGGCCCAAGGTAGTTCCCTCATAGGTAATCTCTATATGGGTTCTGAATGGGAAAAACATATGGGGCCCACTTTGATAAACCGCATGGGTCAGACATGGGCAAATACAAACAGTCCCATTTAGGCTGCCTACATGGGCCCAAGGTAGTTCCCTCATAGGTAATCTCTATATGGGTTCTGAATGTGAAAAATATATGGGGCCCATTTTGATAAACCGCATGGGTCAGACATGGGCAAACACAAACAGTCCCATATAGGCTGCCTACATGGGCCCAAGGTAGTTCCCTCATAGGTAATCTCTATTTGGGTTCTGAATGGGAAAAACATATGGGGCCCATTTTGATAAACTGCATGGGTCAGACATGGGCAAACACAAACAGTCCCATATAGGCTGCCTACATGGGCCCAAAGTAGTTTCCACATAAGTAATCTCTATATGGATCCTTAATGCGGAAATATATACAAGTATAATTGTGAATATAATGAACTATGGAATAAATATAAATTGTGCATCTGTAAATGACTTCATAAACTATACACTTGTAAAAAAAACATATCTGTGCAATCATTAAAACATTTATATACAGTATATTTATGATTTACAGTATAATCCTTGTTAAAATGCCACAGTTGACCATATTTAGTAGTGAGGAAATTTCACAAATGGACTTATTCCACAGGTGGAAACCTATCATGGTACCATGCTTGAATTCACTGAGCTCCTGAAAGCAACCTATGTTTTTACACATGTTTGTAGAAGCACCTGCATACCTAGGTGCTTGATTTTATACAACTGTGGCCATGGAAGTGATTGAAACACCCCCATTCAATAACTTGGATGGGTGTCCCAATACTGTTGGCAATAGTACTGGTATGTGGATACAGTATAGGCCACGGCTCTTCAAATCCAGTCCTGGAGTGTTGGCGTTCAGCAGATATTAGTTCCAACCCTAATCATTGACACTAAATATTTCAAAGTGTCAACTTTTAGTGGTTTAATTTGTTACTGCAAACTTCTGAGTTACTGCAATATGCTTATCTCAATATAGTTATACAAATGGTTCAAAATATCCCGAAAATGGTCACTGTACAATATGAAGAACGGGTTACAGAAGCTACTTATCTATCAAAATATTCTAATGACTTGAGATGGCTAGAATAAATCAAACCCCTAGCATCAGCCAAATGCCCTTATTCAATGGAAATACTCAAGAGTTTTCTGGTCAGTCAGTTAGTGACAATGTAATTCTAGAGATTTTAAATATTGGGGTTAGGGTTAGGGTTTTGATTATTGAAAGAGACTCAGTCCAGATGATGAAATAGCCCAAGTAAAAAAAGTTAGAATGCAACATGCAGTGTTTGAAGGGAAAATCAAAACTAAATTCAAAAATCACATTTGCAGCGAGTACAGAATGCAATGTACACAATGTAACATTTTAATGCTAAACAGTTGAATTTTTTTTATCTGTTTGTTGAATCAATGTCATGTCTTCAAGAAACCCATAACATTTAAATTATTATTATTTCTAATTATTAATTTCTAATTATTATTGTAGCATTTTATGATATTTTGATCAAAACACCACTTCAAAAATATAAATTTGTGTTGAAATAGAATCATATATTATTAACAATAATAAAAATAATGGTTATAATTTCAATCTCAACAAGTGCAGAATAAACTTTTTTTGCTTTGTGCGATTTTGTTTGGGGTTTACAATTTTGTGTGTGTGCCTAAAGTTTAGCTTGCAGGATTACATTTTTATTCACACACTTTCATAAAAACAGTAATCAAATAATATAGCCTACAAATTAAATTAAACACGGATTTCTTAAAAAAAAAAAAAAAATCATTACCACTTTTTTTTTTTTTTTTTTAATCATTACCACTGAAACAATAGAGTGCCGAATTGATGACGTCACTTTGTAGGACAACCCGGAAGCTAGCGGCGCATGGGTTCCCTCGGTAAAAAAGCAATTTTCCCCACAGACTTTTGGAAAATCGCAAAAAATAAGATCTGTGTTTAACAGAGGGTTGACCCTTACACGTTTTGTCTAGCAAGATAATCTTTACAAGTTAATCCAAAATTTATATACATTTTGAAGCATATATAAAGATTTTAAAAAACACAATCAGACACAATAAAGTTTTAAAAAAAAAAAACACACGCAGGTTATAATTGTGTGTTCTATGTCATAGATCAAAACGTGAAAATATTTAGAGGCTCTGTTCACCAGAGACCTTATTTCAGGAGATTTAGCAAAAACCCATTCAAAAAACCCATAGGCTTTAGAGCGAGGGAACTCTAATGCTAAAATGCAAATTCACTTCTGCGTTTTGGCCTACAGAGTGACGTCGTAACTTCGGTTGTTTCACCTTCTTTGATCATGATTGGTTAATCTGACTGTCATCTATGTAATGGCCAATGACAACTGTGCGCGCCTTTTTACTGGTCAAGTTTGAAAAATCAAATACCAGGGTTCTCAAGTTTGAGCAAAAGCTTGGAGTGAGATCACACGCGGTTAGGGGAGGAGCCATAATGAAGCCCCGCCCCACCCATCCCCGCCCCCAATTTTACCCATTGTTCATAATTAACCAGAACAAATTAAAATTATAACAATTAGGCCTAGTAAATCTAATAAATGACAGAGCAATTCATCACATCAAATACTCTTTAATGCAGTATTACAAATATAGCTAACCAAAAATATAACAAATTGCTCCAAACAGTTTCAAACAAATCTTTAAAAATTGCATTTTGATTTTTGAATGCGTCTTCTATCTAGACGAATGATTTATTGTGTGGTGGGACATTGAGAACAAATGGACAGATTAGAGTGCACCACCTCTTCCACTGTCTCCTCCTCTAATCTGGCAACCTTTTTAGGGGGCTTATGGTGCCCAAAATGACAAAATATCTTTCTGCTTTTTTCCTGACATCTTTGAAAAATACAAATGCAACATTATGACAATGATTAAATATTACCCAGAGCAATCTGCTGTAATACATCCTTAATGTAACTAGAAAGACTATTAATATTACAGTATAATATAATTTAAAATAAAATCAGTAAATCTTCATTCCTTTCCATACCCACTAACATTTCTCTTAGTTTCAGATAACATAAGATAGCCAAACTGAGCCTGGTTGCAAAGTAGTTGTAGAGTTTTTGACTGCATCAATAATAATGTACGATGGGCTACATATTAAATGTTCTAGCCCAAAAATGTTAGACGAGCTTCTTCCAACTTACCTGCTTCTCCATCACGACACATGTGTTCGCGCGATGTTGTTGGTTACCTAGTAACGAACGTAAGGTGGCCGAGGATGTTCCGTCCATTTCCGTGTGTTCGCGCTACTGAATGACATGTCATGTATAGATCAGTGGTGCACGCAGCGCGCATATATGTTGCCTAGTAACGAACGCAATCTGGCGGAGATACGCGCTGGTGGCAGGAAACTTCACTTTGTTTGCCTGCGCCTCGTATACAACGTTAGAAAGCTTTCAGCCAGGACAACTTGGTTGGCATTGCCTTTTCAGCGTGAGAAATACACAGTGTGGCGTGTGAGCGTGTGAACCGGTCGAAATGAGTGTGTCTCACGGCCAATGCGTGAGACTTGAGAACCCTGAAATACATTTGAGTTGATGACGACGGCTGCTCAGCAAGATTACTCGGTCTTTCAATTATTATTTTGAACTAATTTGCGATGTGACATGTAAACGAAGGAGAACAGAAGATGTGAACACACAGAAGACGCTCAGACTGGATGCGTGAGATCCTGCAATATTGTCGATCAGGTAAGAGAACATTTTTCTGTCTCCACTATCATTTTAGAAAAACTGAGATCCACTAATATAAACGTTTAGGTATTACATTCAAATAAGTGGATGAGAGTGTTAATATAGTTCATGGTTGAATATTTAATGCAGATTTAAACAAAACGTATGTGAATGGAGTTCATTAACTACCCAGAAATGTTCTGTGTAACTTAACGTTAACGTTACATACGAGAGTTTTATAAACGGATAACGGACGTAGGCTACTAATTTACCTGCAGTTGTGTTTGTAACGTTAACGGGTAGCTAACCATATTTATCTGAAAGCAACGTTAGTGCTTCTGAGTAAGTGTATTTGATTGTGCTAAAGTGGAACTATTGCAAATATACTTTTGGTACACTTAATAGTGGTAACGTTATTACTTTATTTTTTTGTCGTAATATATATATATATATATATATATATATATATATATATATATATATATAAAATGTTCATTGTGTAATAAAGTCTTCTTAGGTGATGTGTCAATAATTATGTTAATGAAATTGAAGTATAATTAGTATGAAATGTGTTCTAATATATTCTGGTAGAAGTTATTTATTTATTTACTAGGGAAGTAGAATCCAAATGAGTAAAGTGACTGATATATTGTGAAAAGCGCTATATAAATATGATTTGACTGATAAAACGGTCATTTACTCTCTGAAACACTGGAATCTACAGAAGAGTTGAGAAATGTGATTGGTCTAACGTTAAATCTCTTATATTTTAGTAGATGCCCGTTTCTAAATATTTTGACATCACCTCTTAAAAAACTGATAACTGCTAATGATAAGAGATTTGTTTATTTTTTATTATTTTTATATATCAAGCACTGGAAGAAGATTTTTGGGGGGAGAGCAGGCACCCAACAGAGAGACAAATCCACCACGGCATGATTATCAACTTCATTATGTAAGTCAGTTTTAACCATTGCTTCTAAACCTTACATTGGGATTAATATATTATGTTGTCAAAAGTATTATACTCATCATCAAAAGTCATATCCTCTACCAGTGACAAATCTGTAACTAATTATCTTTATGTTTTTCTTCCTCTAAAGTGACAAAGAAAGGAGAACATGTCACCATCATGAGCCCTTTATTTAGTTCACGGAAGAACATCAAGGGAAAGACCCTCAGACGTGTCATAACAGGATAAATGTGGCTACAGGTAAAATTGTTTGATGGTTTGTTTGATTTTGGAGTAGCAATTTCTTTTTTTAAAGCTTCAATTGATGTGATGTGACATGTGTCCCCAAACTCGGAATTTGTGCTCTTCATTTCATCCATTCAAGTGCACACACACACACACACACACACACAGCAGTGAGTATTAAACACACACAGTGGAGACCGGGGAGCTATTGGGCTATTTTTCATGTTCTCTGAATGTTTTATAATGGCAAATGTTGGTACGATATTGATACGTTTTGTTTTAATATTGTTAAGGACGCATCACCCCACCCCATCCCAGATTGACCAAGGATCCAGATGAGTACTGGCAATTTGGTGGAGGATTGCTCTTTATCTACTACATTGTACTGTCACTTCCGGTATGGATTTATTAACCTTGTTGAGGTGTTTTGATTGTACTTAATTTAATAAATTTTTCAAAATTAGATTTTACATAATTTAATTAGAGTATTTAGCCCATGATTTACTCACCCTCAAGCCATCCTTTGGTGTATATTAGCCCACGTTCTTCTTTCAGACAAATACAATCAGAATTTTATTAATAAACACCCTGACGCTTCCAAGTTTCGTAATGGCAGTGGATTGCAACTATTAGTTTAAAAAAGCTCAAAAAAGTGCATCCATCCATCATAAACTCCACACGGCTCCAGGGGGGTTAATAAAGGCCTTCTGAAGCAAAAATTTTGTTTGAAAAATATCCATATTTAAACTTTTTAAAGTAAAACAACTAGCTTCCAACTAAATGGCCATAAGCAGCCTACTTGCAAACTTATGCAATTGACCTGTGGCTAAGCCACGCCCCCTCCACTCACTTGGACAAACAGTCAACATTCGGGGACAGGCGCTATGGCAGACATTTTACAGGAGGCAATTGGTGATTTTTGGAGACAGAAATATTATATATCATCTCAAAGTCACCTTAAGGGCCTTAACTATGCATTGGAGGGTTATATTAATAATTTTATTGTTGAGAAGGTCGATGAAAAGCTTCAGCTCCAGGCAAAAATGTAATTTACAGGTCACAATGTAAACGTGATATACCGCATATCGTTGCCATCACCGTTTGGTGCTACAGTATTTACATGAATCATTCAGCACAACATTGTTAACATTTGTTATCTCGGTTATTTACAGATACGTTAATTAAGCTAAGTGACATGATGTACAAAGCAGCTAGAAGGCTAACTTTAGTTGTTGTTGTGGTCTACCGCGGCGCATGACTTAATCGCATAACTTAATCCAGAGCAGAAACTTATCTCTGTTGAGAAGTGGCTTGGGAAAGGGTAAAGAAATACACACCGTCGCCCAGTCTCTCGGGAACCTAGTGTCGGAGTTGTATGTACCCCATGCACACCGTTTGACCATTTTAAACTTAAAATGACAAAAAAACCTAATGAAAACTGACTAACTGCAATGCATTTCAATGGACGTGGAAGCAGAGAATGTCCGAGTGTATTAGGTTAGGTGCGCACTGCTCATCGTGTTTGACTGAATGGCTTAGCCATAGGTCAATTTGTGACGTCAGAAGTAGCGTAGTGCATAATGGTGTAGAGTAAATATCAACTTAAAACCACATAAGTTGCACTTTACACTTAAGTGCAATCTGTATGTTCGCTTGGCCGGAAGCTGGTTATTTTATTTAATAAAGTTTTAAATATGAATATTTGATAATGCTTTAGATTACAGCCTGGAAAGTACTGCGTAATTAAAGCGATTTAACAGCGTAACCTTTGGTAATTATAGTGTACCTATAACATACTTACAATATAAGTATAAAGGAACAATATATTAAGTTTGGGGAATAAGGAGGTAACAACCAGGAGAATTAAACAATTATTTATACTGTAAGTATTAAAGGACTAAAGGGTGTTTATCCTACTATTATGATAACAATCTTACATTTGGAAGCAATTTCACCAGAAAATTGTACACTGCGTACCTTTTTGAAATAAAGGTCAACCAATACCTACTCTAAAATTACAGGCTTTTAAAAAAAATTACAGGGTACATATGCATTTATAAAGTCATCTTTTTTACATAAGTGCACTGAAACAAAAACTATTGCAACTTTTGCTTAAATATTGGGGAAAGATACACTTGTTTCATGTGGTGGTGCTTGTTACCCCCTTGTTCCATGTAGTTACAGGGTAAGTACAATAAAAATACATACACAGTTTTATATCACTGACTTGGAAACCTTTATTTATTATACAAGCACCACTTACCCTGTAACCACATCAAACAAAATATATGTCCCAGTATTTAAAAAAAATTGCAATAGTCTTAGCTTTTCTTGCCTTGAAACATGTTAGCCAAAACTTAAACATCTGCACTTTTGCTATAATTTTTTTTAAAAAATATTAAAGAATTGTATAAATGCCTATATATGTACCCTGTCCTTTAAAAAAAGCCTATACAGTATTGATACACAATTTTTACAAAAAGGTTTGCAGTGTATGTACTCGCTAAATTGCTCCCAAATGTAAGACTGTTGTATCATAATAGTAGAATAAGTAACCCTTATTTCTATAATACTTACAGTATAAATATATATTTTTAATTCTCCTGGTTGTTACCCCATTATTCCCAAAACTTTACCCATATACTTACATGCAAGTCCTTTATAGGTACACTATAATTGCAGAAAGTTACACTGTAAATTCCTCTTAATTACATAGTACATTCCGGGCTGTAATCTAAAGCGTTACCGAATATTTTTCTTACACAAACTCATGGCTTTGCTTCAGAAGGCGTTTAATAACCCCCTCCCACTGTATATGCGCTCTTTTGACTCTGTTGATGCCTTCAAATGCAGACTAAAGTCTCATTTATTTGTTCAGGCTTTTAATTAGGTACCTGTGTTACATGATATGGTCATGTACTGTCTATGCTTTTATTGTGTGTATTTTATGATATTAATGTTTTTGTTGTAAGGCACTTTGTTGCCTTGTACCTGTGAAAGGTGCTATATAAATAAACTTTTACTTACTTACTTAGTTAACCTAACCCTAATATCTGGCCGATTGATCGGAGCATTCCTAATTTTACTTTAAAAGTAATCATAAATCATTATACTTATTATGCATACTTTATAAACTGTTTTTTATTGATTTCCTAAATGCCCTTCCAGTGACATTCCAAAACCGTCACCATTCCTATATAACTTTTTTGCTGTTTTTTTTTTTTATCCTGAGTAGAAATTGTTATTCTGTCATAAGGTATTGTGACGTGTAAGTAACATGATTTTTCTAAAATCAAAATCCCTAAAAAAAAAAAATGTTTTGCAGAGGCTCTTAGGAAGACAACACAGATCAACTGGCAAGGAACTGAGAGGGAACTCTCAAAATAGTTCAGGACAAGAGATGGAGGAGAGTGTCTAGATGCGCAAATGAAGTGTAAGCTGTACTGATAAATGTACTGTATAGTTGCTGCTTCTTCTAACTGTCACCAATTTATATCCTGTTCAAATGTTCAGTAAAGACTGGGTCAAATACAGGTTCAAAATATGTATTTTAACAAATAGGTATTAAATAGATACTCTTTAATCTGACATAAATCTGCTTCTTTAAATATTGTCCCTGGAATTTCAGAATATAGCATAATATGATGATGAGTAATTTTAATAAAATTGAAAATATTTCAATATCACTGTGTGCTCTAATGCTTTAAAACTTGTTTGTGTGGTGTTGCTACTCATTTAGATGGAGCCCAGATGATCCCTAATTGGGCCACATGCATATGATTCCTAGTTGGGCCCCACCTAAAGCCCTGTGAAATCCTGTATAAAAGAAATCCTGAATCCTGAAATCCAGCAAGTTGCTGGGGCCAGCATGGAACCTATGGACAAACCCACTTAAAGCCCATATTTCAGCCCATATAGTAACCTTGTAGTACCCACAAAAAACTAAAGCTGGGACCAAGATAGGTCTTGTGCATGTGGCCCAGTTGGGGCCCACCTGTTTATAAGTGCGATCCTACATGAAACCCACCTGGGCGATTTACATGGCACCATTATGGAACCCACGGACAATCCCATACAGAGCCCACTTTTCATTTCAAAGCCACATGGGACCCACATACAAATGTCGGCTGGGTTAAAGCTGGGCCCGAGATGGGTCTTGTGCATGTTGCCCACTTGGGTCCGGCCTAGTACCAAGTGTAATCCTACATAAAATTCATCTGGGCAATTAACATGGGGCCATTATGTAACCCGTGGACAATCCCAATCAAAGCCCATTTTTTAGCCCATTTCAAACCCACATGGGCCCCACATATAAATATCGGCTGGGTTAAAGCTGGGACCGAGATGGGTCTTGTGCATGTTGCCCACTTGGGTCCGGCCTAGTACCAAGTGCAATCCTACATGAAATTCATCTGGGCAATTAACATGGGGCCATTATGTAACCCGCGGACAATCCCAATCAAAGCCCATTTTTCAGCCCATTTCAAACCCACATGGGCCCCACATATAAATATCGGCTGGGTTAAAGCTGGGACCAAGATGGGTCTTGTGCATGTTGCCCACTTGGGTGCGGCATAGTACCAAGTGCAATCCTACATGAAATTCATCTGGGCAATTAACATGGGGCCATTATGTAACCCGCGGACAATCCCAATCAAAGCCCATTTTTCAGCCCATTTCAAACCCACATGGGCCCCACATATAAATATCGGCTGGGTTAAAGCTGGGCCCGAGATGGGTCTTGTGCATGTTGCCCACTTGGGTCCGGCCTAGTACCAAGTGCAATCCTACATGAAATTCATCTGGGCAATTAACATGGGGCCATTATGTAACCCGCGGACAATCCCAATCAAAGCCCATTTTTCAGCCCATTTCAAACCCACATGGGCCCCACATATAAATATCGGCTGGGTTAAAGCTGGGACCGAGATGGGTCTTGTGCATGTTGCCCACTTGGGTCCGGCCTAGTACCAAGTGCAATCCTACATGAAATTTATCTGGGCAATTAACATGGGGCCATTATGTAACCCGCGGACAATCCTACATGGGGCCCATTTTTCAGCCCATTTCATACCCATATGGGCCCCACATACAAATGTTGGCTGGGAGAATATGTTTTCATGCTTGTTCAAATCGCAACAAACGCAATATCTCTCACATATTTTACATTATCACTGCTCCTCTCGCCGCCAACTGACCTATGGCTACGCCACGCCTCAAACGCGATGAGCCAATCACAGTGCGCACTCAATACACTCAATACACTCGGACATTCTCTGCTTCCACATCCTTTGAAACGAATAGCAGTTAGTCAGTTTTCATTCTTTTTTTCTTGTCATTTTAAGTTTAAAATGGTCAAAAGGTGTGCATGGGGGGTACATGCAACTCCTACACCAGGTTCCCGAGAGGCTGGGTGACGCTGTGTATTTTTTTTACCCTTTCCCAAGCTACATCTCAATCGAGATAAATGTCTGCTCTGGATTAAGTTATGCGATTAAGTTATGCGGTAGACCACAACACCAACTAAACGTGAATAAATAAAACAAGGATGTCTACATCATTCTATGTCAACAACGTATTTGAACGTTATCTTTAAAATCTCTAAGGTAACTTTAGGCTAACGTTAGCCCAACATTAGAAAACGTTGACGTTAGCTTCTAGCTGCGTTGTACATCAAGTCACTTAGCTTAATTAACGTATCTGTAAACCGAGATAACAAATTGTTAACAATGTTGTACTGAATGATTCATGTAAATACTGTAGCACCAAACGATGATGGCAACGATATGTGGGGTTATCACGTTTATACTGTGACCGTCCTGGACATTTTGGCTTTTCATTGAACTTCTCAACAGTAAAATTATTAATATAACCCTCCAATGCATAATTAAGGCCTTTTAGGTGACTTCAAGATGATATATAATCTTTCTGCCTCCAAAAATCACCAATTGCCTCCTGTGAAATGCTCTTACTGTGACACCTGCCATAGCGCCTGTCCCCAAATGTTGACTGTTTGTCCAAATGAGTGGAGGGGGTGTGGCCTAGCCATAGGTCAATTGGTGGAACACGTCGTTTTCGAATAAGCCCCTGACTACGAACTGTGCTGTGATTGGTCAGCTGGCCCAGTGTGTTGTGATTGGCTGCATTCGGGAAATGTCACAAACCTTCACAACTGCGAGCTCCACTCAGATGTAAATATTAACGATATAACGTTTATATTAAACCATTTCGAGCTATTCAGACCCTGACGATGTTAATGAACGAGAGGACTGTGCAGACCGACTAGATGAGCTTCTTCCTGGGTAAAAGGACACAAGCTCTTAAAGCTCCGCCCTTTGTCCAGCTCATATGCATTTAAAGGGACACACACACAAAAACTTTATTTTTGCTCACCCTCAAAAGTGAAAATTTTAACATGCTACTATATAAAAAATATCTGTGGGGTATTGTGAGCTAAACCTTCACACACACACACACACACTGGGGACATCAGAGACTTATTTTATATGTGAAAAGAGCCTTATACCAGCCCTTTAAGAAAGTGAAATCACTATCGGGACCCCTTTAAAGGTCAGATAACTGAACGAATATTCTTTTATTGTTACTGAAAGAACATTTGTTTGTAACTTTGATAGAGCCTTGATCGAACAGTCCCTCCAACTAGAGACTCATCTGGGTCTGTTGTTATCCACCGGAGCAGGTGTGTCAGGTCTGTGTGGGACAGCTTTCTGAAGGATGTGGTGTGTGTGTGTCTGTCTCGCAGTGATTCACTGGGTCTCACAGGCGTCTCGTTCAGTAGATTCACACAGCTGAAATCATTCAGACGCGCTAACACCTCAAATGACTCAAAAGCTGCACGCATGCTGTCTTCCCTATGGTATTACACAGTATGTGTCCATTTGAGAGATTTCATGGTTTGAATGTTAACACTCCCAGCTAACAAAAATGTGTTTTTGTTAGTTTTCTGCTTAAAACAGTCTCAAAAACACGGATTGAAAATGAAATAGCTGCTGTTTCTGACGTCACAAACGACCTTAACCAATCAGATCAACGTGTGATCCTCAACCAGTGGATCTCTGAGCTGAGTGAGTGAGTGAGTGAGTGAGTGGAGGGGGGGCTAATTTGCATATTCATACACTCACACATACTTAATGAGGCAAGGGTGTCGAGTTACATTTGATATTTTAGACATTAAGGATTTTTTACATTTTGGTGATCATAGATGAGTTTTAAGGGATTAAATAAATTGAATAAATAATTGAATTAACAAGGCGGATGTTAAAGCATATTTGCACACTTGACTGGAACATTACATTTGAATGTTCTCTGAATGTCCAATACAAATAGAAGCATTTAAATATTGTTAGATGAAAGTTCAACTGAAACATTTCATTTTGAACAAACGCTTCTGGAAGAACTTGCCAGAACATTCCCTGTTAACTGGCTTTCGCCGGATGGATAACAAGACAGATGGATTACAGATAAAATGAACAGACGCACAGCGCGAAAAGAGGTTTAGAGTCTTAAACGAGAGACAGAGGGGGAGAGATAAATGAAAATCAGCATTATAGAGATGTGTCTGTTCCTGCCCAGCCGAGCAGAACATGTCCGGGTCACTTACGCAACACGTGGAGAGAAACAGGCTTTATCCAGGACTTACTGTGAACGTGTCTCTTCAGGACCACAGAGGCACACATGACATCTGTCAACAATGAAGAGCAAGTCAGTTGAGGTCATGTGATACTGGGAGACACCGCTGGCTGCATCTGTGCGCACTATAACAGCAATTTAGAGAGTAAGATCAACACTAGAACCTTGAATACATAAATAAAATACAATAATAAAAAAAGAGTTGCTGAAATGCTAATAATTAATGCAATCATATTTTAAGCCTTTTCATAAATAAATAATTGCAAATAAAAAAAACTAAATAAAACACTAAAAAAAATTACATATTTTATCATGTGTAATGTAAACAATTATAATATAAAAATAAAAAATCTAAATTAAACACTAAAAACGATTTAATATTTTATCATGTAAAATGTAAACATAATAATATAAAAATAAAAAAACATCAAAATTAAACACTTATGAAATATTTTATAATTAAAATTAAAAAAAAACATTTTAATTTTATCAGCTAAAATTAATAGTATCACAGGAACTTATTTACACAGATAAACCAAGATAATTCATGAGGAACGGCTGAACAGAGTGATAAACAAACAAATAATTAACCCATCAAAAGAAAACACTTTTTAAAAAGTTAATATTTTAGCATGTAAAATAAAAATAAATAATAAAAAATAAAAACAATCATTTTAGCATGTAAATTTAAAATAAATCAATTATTTTGAAATAAAACCCATAAAAATAAAATTATTTTATATAAAGTAAATATTTTAT